ACTTAGGCTAGGCCCGATGGAGATGGGCCTGCATCTCTACCCCAGATGACATTGGATGGAGTGGAGGGTGGGCTCTCTTTTCCAATGATTCTTCCCTTCTCATGATGTGTCCAAAGTACGACAGTCTCAGTTTGGTTATCTTGGCTTCCAGGAAGGTTTTCGGCGTCATCTGCTCTGGGACCCATGTCTTTTGGCTGTCTATGGGATCCTCAGCATTCTTCTCCAGCACCATATCTCAAATGAATTGATTTTCTTCCTATCTTGTTTCTTAACTGTCCAGCTCTCACATTCATGGTAACAGGGAATACAGTGGCTTATATAATTCTAACTTTTGCCCTGAGTTGTATACCTTTGCATTTTAGGGTATTTTCTAATTATTTCATAGATGCCCTCCCCATTCTTAGTCCTCTTTTGATTTCTTGGCTGCAGTCCCTGTTCCTATCAAAGTTTGATCCCAAGTGTGAGAACTCATTTACTATTTCTACTTCTTCATTGTCTAGGCTGAACTTGTTAAGGTCCTTGGTGGTCATTATTTTTGTTTTCTTGATGTTCAACATTAAGCCTGTCTTAGCACTTCTTTGATCTTCCTTAGTAGGTGTTCCAAGTCTGTGAGGTTTTCTGCTAGTATTATCGTGTCATCTGCATATCTTAGATCAGGGGTAGGCAACCTTTCCCCTTTAAGGGCCGAGGGACTTCAGCTCCCAGAAGCCTCAGCCATGTTGGCCAATAGTCCCATGTTGGCCAATAGCTCCTGGGATTCTGGGAGCTGAAGTCCCTCGGTCCTTAAAGGGGAAAGGTTGCCTACCCCTGTCTTAGATTGTTGATATCCCTTCCTTCTACATGGCACCAGTTTGTTATTTTCATTTGCTTTGTACAATGGGAAATGCTAGTCATTTAGAGAGTGTCTCTAAGCATGCACAGTATATTTCTCGTCCTTCCAAATAGTCTAGATAGAACATTATGCCAATCCTCCCCTCAGATAGCCTCGATACCGTCTGAAAATTAGTTCTGAAGGAGTTCCTAGCCTCCCTGACTGGGCTTTTCAGTGCACAATACACTGCTGCATTAGGAAAGAGAGATCATCTAGTCTCAATGACACTGATGGAAGCAGATCTGTCAGCAGATGTCATGTTTTTCATTGGGTTTGGTTCAATAACTTTATTCCACCTCACACAACTGGGATTAGGTCTGTCAATCTAGGAAAACATATTTAGAAGTACAGTCCATGGAATACAGTGATACTCAGAAGAAACTAGTGCTACGTAGCATCCATAGTCCCAATCAAATGGTTCATGAGTAGAAGTTTCTCTACTATATACAGTCCTAACATCCATTTTGTGTTGAAAGTGACTTTTAAAAAAAATAGAGGAACTCAATTGTTTTGCTTTGTGCTTTCAAGTCATTTCCGATCTATGATAACTCTAAGGCTATCATGGGGGTTTTCTGGGGCTGAGCAAGGAGTATGTGACTCACCCAAGGTAATCCAGTGGGTTTCCATAGCTGAGCAAGGAATTGAACCCTGATCTCCAGAGTCATAGTCCAATGCTCAAACCACTACATCATGCTGTCTCTCTAGAAAATCAATACAGAGCTTCAAATACATTTACACACATCAATATCTGAGAAATGTGCATTATCCTTATGAAAGCTTAGAAAAAGTGGTTGAAAGCACAAGTGATTTAGGATTGCAA